ACACACACAAAACTAATTGACAAGCTCTCTCTCTCTCTCTCTCTCTCACCCCAGATTGTTTTGAAGGCGAAAGCTATGGAGGGAAAAGTACATAAGTTTCTCCATGGAACTCTTGAAGCTAACATCTTCCATGCCACACCTTACTCACCACCACCATTCCCCTTCAATGTAAGTATTGTCACAAGCTCGCTATCGTTGTTATTTTTTTATATGCTTACAATTTTATCAGCAACTATCGTTCATGAGATTTGAGCACACACCTCCTCTAGTAAAGTAGTACCGGTAGAGAAAACCGTCATGTTTTACATATAGTTGTTTACCGTGTAGCTATTGATTATTATAAGTTTCCAATGCATTATACATGCAAGAGGTAGAAGGCTAATTAATCATTCCTCTACCATTTGTTGTCTCAAACTCAAAGAGTTGGGTTTTTGCTCTAACGGAAATCTGTGATCTTGTTTTGCAGTGTATTTTTGCCACTGGGAAGCCTGCATATGTGACCATCAAAATAGACAACAAGAAAGTAGCAAAGACGACCCATGAACGAGACCGTGTGTGGAACCAAACCTTTCAAATCCTTTGTGCTCATCCGCCTGATTCGACCATTACCATTACCATGAAAACAAAGTGCTCCATCTTGGGAAAATTTCAAGTTCAGGCACATGAGATACTAAACGAAGCAAGTTTTATCAACGGTTTCCTCCCTCTTGTAATCGAAAATGGGAAGCCAAATCCAGAACTCAAGCTCCGGTTCATGTTATGGTTTAAGCCCGTGCAGTTTGAACCAACTTGGGGGACAATAACTGATAATGGTGGATTCAAGGGGCTGAGGAATGCATCATTTCCACAAAGATCCAACAGCCATGTCACTCTTTATCAAGATGCTCACCATTGCTCAACTTTCAACCCTACGCCGGAGTTCTGTGGGACTCCGAGAAGACTATGGGAAGATGTTTACAAAGCCATTGAGGAGGCAACACATTTGATTTACATTGCGGGCTGGTCTTTCAATCCTAAGATGGTTCTGGTAAGTAGAATTCCAACACAATTTTCCAATCTATAAATTAATACTGGGTCTTTTGTTTTCCGGAGCCTAATATTGTGCTCTTAATTAGGTCAGGGATCTTCAAACAGACAACCCGCGTGCGCGAGGGGTGAAGCTCGGTGAATTACTAAAGCAGAAGGCTGAGGAAGGTGTGGCAGTGAGAGTAATGCTTTGGAATGATGAAACTTCTTTGAAAATCATCAAGAACAAAGGAATAATGGGAACACATGATGAAGATGCATTTTGTTACTTTGCACATACGAAAGTGATATGCAAATTGTGCCCTAGATTGCACGACAAGTTTCCCACAATCTTCTCTCACCATCAGAAAACCATATCTGTAGACATCAAATCTAGCACCAGTGCAAGTGACAGAGAAATCATGAGCTTTGTTGGGGGTTTAGATCTTTGCGATGGGCGCTATGACACACCGCAACATTCGTTGTTTCAAACCCTCAATACAGAATCATTTGTGCTGATTTCTACCAGACCAACATTTCCGGGGCTAGCCTTCAGAGAGGAGGGCCACGAACGCCGTGGCATGATGCTCACGCTTGTATAACTGGCGAGGCTGCTTGGGATGTACTAACAAATTTCGAGCAACGATGGACTAAGCAATGTGATCCCTCTTTATTGGTCCCTTCTATCACATTAACAAGCCTCTTTCAACAGACTTATGCAAGTAAACCCTCTGAGAGGGGCTGGAATGTTCAAGTTCTTAGGTCAATTGACAATGTTTCAGCAAGCCAATTGTTTCAAAGCCTAACCGTGGAGCATAGCATTCATGACGCCTACGTTGAAGCAATTAGGCGTGCCGATAAGTTTCTATACATCGAGAACCAGTATTTCATGGGAGGGTGCTATCTGTGGGAGAACGATCGGCATTGTGGATGTAGAAACTTGATCCCCGTTGAAATTGCACTAAAAGTGGTCCATAAGATCAAAGCAAAGGAGAGGTTTGCAGTGTATATTGTGATTCCGATGTGGCCAGAAGGGTTACCTGAGAGTGAATCTGTGCAGGATATACTTCATTGGACTAGAGAGACGATGTCAATGATGTATAAATTGATTGGAGAAGCCATAAAAGAAAGTGGAGTTGAAGGGCATCACCCGAGAGACTATTTGAACTTCTATTGCCTTGCCAATAGAGAAGTTGAGATCCAAGGGGAGTTTGTTCCTCCTCATTCTCCTTACCATGCAACACAATATTGGAATGCACAAAAGCATAGGAGGTTCATGGTCTATGTTCACTCCAAGCTCATGATAGGTATGTATATAAATTTCAATATTTATTATTTTTTAAATAGTTATATATACATATATATATATATATATATATATATATATAGTATTTACCAATTGGCCGCATCTCCTACGGAAGCGAAAACCTACTATTAGATTCACGTAGTTTACAATTTTGTGAGAAATGCAATCATTAATTTGATCAGTAAACATAATACATGCACCGTTACTTATTACTTATTACTTGATTCCGATTTCTACTTTTTCGTAAAATTAAAGTTGAGTAATCCTATATATAATCTGGCATCTATTAGAGATATTATCTATAATATGGTACATTTAATAATGTGATCTAAGAAACTTAAATTATTAACGTAATTTCTCTTTGTTTGGTGCCTACTATGTTCTAGTGGACGATGCATACCTTATCATAGGATCAGCAAACATAAACCAAAGATCCATGGACGGACACCGAGACACTGAGATCGCAATTGGATGCTACCAGTCCGACAATGGTGATAACAAGACGACGGTGAGCTCGAAAGGTGACATTGGAGCATACCGGATGTCATTATGGTATGAACACACAGGTCGTGCCGGAGAATTGTTCAAGCATCCTGAAAGCTTAGAATGCGTGCAGACGATGCGTTTTATTGGAGATCGGATGTGGAAAATTTACAGTGGAGAAGAAGTGATCGACATGGAAGGTGTTCATCTTGTGACATACCCCATGAATGTAACAGAGGAAGGATATGTTGAGGACCTTGTGGAAGGTAGTGGTGATCATTTTCCAGATACAAAGTCTTTGGTGAAGGGCAAGAGATCAAAAGTGATTCCACCAATATTTACTACATAGTCAATTAATTAGCCATTTTTAATATATATATTTTATTTTTTAATTCTTTTAAGAGTTATTTATCTTATCTCAAAAAAATAAAATAAAAAAAGAGTTATTTATCAGTCATTGTTTACAGGAAAATATAGAAGTACACAAAATTTTCATTTGGCAAAACCCTTTGGCTGCGTTGCGTGAATAAGGAGAGTACTATTTTGATGTCAAGACTGCAAAAAATAAATATTAGCCAAATTAGTAATATTTGAAGCATCAGATTGAGTTTATAAGAATTGATGAACCATAGGGTTTGAGAAACATTGATATTTTATTGTGATAATTAAGTGGGGAAACAGTTTCAGATTGAATTGAATTTTTGTAAGAATGATTTATAAATCAAGACTTACAATATAAAGGGTTTGAATCATTGAACTTGGTATAGAGTGAGTCCCATAAGTAATCCCATTTTTTGAACAAGGACAAACTTCTTTTGCTCACCGAAATACTACTTTTTTTTTTAATATCTCAAATTTGAATATGCACGATCTTGTCACTTAGTACTATGGTCTAGTAATATTCCTCTTGATTTGTAAGTGAGAGATTTTAGGTTTGATTCTCGCCAAAAACGAATTTGAACAACATTATTGCTAGCCTATTGTGAGGTTTAGCCTACCCCTCCCATGTAAGATCCCACATCGACCAACGGAGAGGGGGTGATGTGCCTTATATGTACATGCTCCCCTCCCTATAGCACGAGACCTTTTGGGAATTCACTGGCTCCGGATCCCATAAAAGCTCCGAAGTTAAGCGAGTTTGGGCGAGATCAGTCCTAGGATGGGTGACCCCCCTGGGAAGTTCTCGTGCCGAAACCTAAAAACAACACCGTGAGGGAATGGTGAGCTCAGAGCAGACAATATCGTGCTACGACGGAATCGAGCTGAGATTTTATTAGAAATCATTTTAAAGAAAATTTTATGCTAAAAATTTTAGAAGTATACAACATTACTAGAAGCGTTTTTTTAATTATCTGAAAACGTTTTTAGCCTTTCAAATTACTACGAATCATTGATTAGAGAAACAAAAGTAAAAAGCACCCAAGATTATTACACAAAATTGCTCAGTTATGACTATCATATGATCCATATCCATATCCACTACCTACCCCAGGTTGCTTTGCTTAGTAATTAATAGACCGAAAGAAGGGGAAATTGCAAATTTACAACGCAACCTTGTCCATTGAGTCTCGAGGTGGAAAACAATTTATATGGTATGCGTACATCACGAGCAATGTTTTATGACAAAAGTTTACATATATTTTTAAGAATTGTTATTAGCATTTTAAATATTTTATATTTAGAAACAAAAATAAAATTATGAGGAGTGGACAATAGAATTTTTAAAGTACCAATAACAATTTTCTATTTTTATTTTATTGACATAACTGGAAATCATTTAAATTCTTTTTTTTTTTTAAATCGACACATTTAAGAATGAAAAGATGAACCCAATATCAAATCAAGGTTTTCATTTTTTTGTTAATAATTTTAACTTGAAATTAGAGTGTACTTCGCTAAAAGAAAAGCGGCAATTGTTGTTGAACTCCAACTATAGATGTATATGTGTCTAACCGGTGTTCCAATTTCAATTATTTGGATGCATGTCTATACGTGATTGGATTTCAGCAACATCTGTTTCCATTCTTCAACAGCGAAGTAGTATTCTAACGAATGTCCGTAAAATGATGTGTTGGGAATTGGGATGTGGCAAAATGGAGGAAAGTTACAAGAACCCACATTCGATTCTTCTCTCATCAAAGACTACAATAAACCATGTGATATGTCTACTCTCTAGGGTTATAATAGTCAAATCAAAATTAAATAATTGAAGGATGGAGAATTAAATTAATCCAAAAAGTTGTTGCCAATGTTCCGTTGAAACTTTTTCTAGATAGAGTAAGCTCGCTAATGACATTTTAATTAAACTAATCATAACTGCGAGAAGGGAGATTGAAACTCGGATGCATAGTGAGAGCATATCCGCTCTAATTTCTTTTCCGGCTACTTATATTAGTTGCTGCTTCTTTTTTTTTCAAGCAAAATTGAAGGTGTGATTAGTTTTGTAGACAATTAATTCCTCTGTTGTATTACTTGTACGGTTCTACCTAACAGCTGCAGTTACTTTCAGGTCAGGCAAATGGCAGTTGCCACTTTGTTGGAATCCGGAATCCGGCATTCAAATGCCGGATGAAATTCTATCCTCCGAGACTGAAAATGTTGACAGTTCTGTGCTACTGTAAGCCGGAATCTCAGAATCAGAAGATAGGCTGCATTTTAGGATTGCTTTGACCAACAAAACGGAGCTGCGTTGATATGATTTTTACTGCCTTGAAGGTTCCCCTACTTCAACTGGCATGAGCATTTCTGGGATTGACCTAGTAAATCCATCCACAACATCTTCAAGATGTCGTCCATCAGTGGCAGCATACTGTGAGAAGATCGTGTCACCGGGTGGCCGGCCACAATCAGGAGAGGAGTGCATGGGAGCAAGCAGGACAGCCAAATTACACCCCTTCTTTTAGGGAGAAAATTAACCTGCAAGTCTGAATTAATCTCAACTGTTAAAACTATTTAACCTTCTAATCTAAATTAAACTCAAAGACTTGCAAAACAGATATGAGAAGTAAATACCGATGATACAGAAAAGAGAAAAACCAAAGGGTCATTGGTGAATTAGCAATGGAAGACAATTGAAAAGGATGTTGAATATTATACAAAATGCGTATATGAAAGAAGAATAGCCCTGCAACCAATCATATCATTGTTGTACAGCAAAGTACAAGGTCGCACCTAAAACTTCAAAAATATGAATGACAATATGACCGGACAAAAGATGCTCCAATCAATCGCCTATTTGACAAGTGAGAGTAAGGCGGAAGGTGAAATCCATATTTACAAGCTCCAGTAAGACACATGATTCCTCTATTTTGCTATGTTGAAAAATCAGTTATATGACAGTTTTCTTTGTCAAAAAGGTTAACATCGAATTGCCTAGCAAGTGTATCTGAACTCAAGTAAAGGAGATGGGAAGCATGCACTCACTAACGGAAATGACAACCTGCATGGGGCATCCTTACACCTTCGAGTCTTCAACAACATTAACAGGTTGCATAGACTCTGCTATTATCACCAATTTCAACAACGGGGTAAGATATTTTCTTCCATCAGTCTTTAAGTCAAACCAACCTCTTGTATAAATCACATTTACGTCTATTCTCCTCCGGAACAGCAGGTCCACTCAATATTTGTTTAATGCATTTGAATACGTGCCTTCCATCTGCAGCAAATGAAGGTGAAAATATTAGTTAACATACAGCTAAATTGTGAAACTAAAATGATAAGTAGGTAAAACCATCAATTAAAGACAACATAGTGTAATATGGGCAAAACTTTAGTGAAAACTATGACAAGCATGCAGAATTAACTGATCATAATTCACCTCGTAGGCAAGGTTATAGCAGTATATGGAAGGCAATCAACAAATCAGCAACTGAATAACAATTTCAATAGAAGTTGTGGAATTCGGTCAAATCTATCTTAGTTCCTAGCAGACCATACAAGAAACATACTCAGCTACAACTTCTCAATCAAAATGTTCTTTAATCTAAATCTTCAACAAAACAATCCACCAGAGCAGGTGGACTGGGTCTGTCTATATTCAGAAAGAAATTTCTCACTTCCAATGATGATCAGACTGTTGGGCAATAACCATCTAAAGATTTTCCTCATTTGAGAATAAAGACTATGCTCATGTGGCTACGTTGATGAAAAAAAACTATCAAAGTTTTTCCTATTAGATGTCAGATACAAGCTCCAAGACCAATCATTATTGCCGTATAGACTATTGCTTTTCATCATGAAATTCTGTAGCTAGCAGTCGTATCTCCAGAGGACTTGTGCCATTGTCTGATAACTTCAGAAACATCAACTCCTACAGTTACAAGAGAACAATTTAGACTGTCTAATGGAATAACAAAAGAACGGCCCTATACTTCTCCAATCAAGATAGATCCCATCTCCAGACTCGAACTGAAATTTTCATTATAAGAGGTGGACCCATAGGCTGCTCCAGTCGACCAAGAAAAATACCCCATTTCCCTTCTGACCAGATCTCACTCTTATCATCCTTTATAAGAATCTATATCTGGTAAGTGGTAACAAGTCCATTCAAGAGAGTAGAAGCATGATCTCACCTCATCTCATTCTTTATTTGTTTCATCAGCTTTTCCAACGCAAGTTCATCCAGAAAATCAAACTGAGATATTAACGTGACCGGCCAAAGGTATTCTCTAAAAGAGGCAACCAACTAGAGACGTCTTTCTATAGATAGTCTGAAACTAATATCCTATAAGCCTTAATAAAGCAAGATAGGGAACAACTGTCTGCATTATAATGAAATAATAATTCACTAGAAAGTTAACGGTAAATTAGTTGAAGGTAGTTAAAAAATCTACAAGAAAGAAACTCTTAGTTTTAAATAAAAGCAATATAACCAGTAGTCAAGGATATAAAAGCGGCAACATACAAGCACAGAAAATCAAATACTAAGTCCAGCTAGGGAAGAAGATGGAAGACTCCATACCCATGAAACCCATAAAAATAAGAAGAATACTTGCCTCTAAGTTCAGATAAGTAGCTCGCCTCTTTTCCAATGGCAGGCCACCATCCTTTCTTGAGACAGTCCAGCATCATCTCATCGCGTGGAGCAACTTGCCATATTGTAGGTGTGGCTAGAAATATCTTGACGATGGAAGTTGCAGATTCACAGCTCAAAATCAGGAACAAGAAACTTTGCAACAAGACATGACAAAGTAGCAAGATTGCATTACTGACCAAGCTCCTGAATTTTTACACTATGCTCAACAGATACAAGAATACTACTAGTCCACGAATCTTCATCTACTTTTAACAGAATATAACCAATTTATCTCCACTCTGCCGCCCACGTTCACCGTAAAGCAAAATCGTACTAATCCACATATTTGAAAGAAGAAAACACTGTACAACTCTGTTTCAATAACCAAGTTCAAAATAGGAATATAAAGCTCCAACATCCAGCCCTTTTATTTGGACAAAGTTCCACCTCTGTATAAAACATGTCCTCAGGCTAAAAATAACAACTCCCAATTATCCTACTCAACCATACCCCTTACAACGGAGTAAAGTTAACTACTGGAAAAATCTAACTTGGCTATTTAGGGCATAAGGAAGAGCACTAAAGAGTGGTCTACAGTACCTTCACAATATAAAGCACTTCAACCAAGCCCCAGAAAACTTGAAACTATACAAACAACCCTTTGGTACACTCTCCATTAGAACATCATAACAGGGGTCCCATGCACCGCAGATAAATATTGAGAACAATACACCAGATACCAGCTGTGCTCAGGCCTGCCGCAACGAGGGCCTATGCTGGCCACATTTCCAAAATCCATTATTCCAATACCAGCCAAAAGCAATGGGTAATACCAGGAACTTCTCAATAGTGCATAACAGAAAATCTAGTGCTTATCCAAAGGCCACTAATCCAGAGAAGTCACATAATGATGCTGTGACAGAGCTGCAGATACTAACCTGGGAAATAAACCATATGGAATCCTGGGGTCCTAGTCAAAATATAACCTACAAATGGAAAAGCCTGACACTTACTTCCAGAGAATTACAACTGCTTAGGCCCTAACTACCCACCTAAGAGAGATCATGAGTCCTATTTAATTGATGCATAAGTAATAGCATGTCCACTTCCAACACGCAGATAAATTGATGCATAAGTGATAGCATGGCCACCTCCAACACCAAAACCAGCAACAAGGAATTTCCAAGAAATAAACCCACATCCCCAGAAAACTGAACACCATACATGTTCTGTTCATCAATTACGAATCGACACAACTCGAATCCAACAATTGCATCATCTACAGAAAACAGGTTGCACTACGTTCATGCAATACAATGATCACATAGCTTCCCTTCAATTGCATATCAGACATGCTCCAGCCTCCACACAAGTTCATAAAAGAAAACACTAAACTATAGCACCATTCTAAAGTTTGATTCTACCAACCAGGAAGAGAAAGGAAGATATAATCAAGAGAACATTGCTAGATAGAAAACAATCCTTTTTATAAGTTACATGGTCAAATAACCAACATAAGATATAACTGATGCAAATTAGGACAGGAAATTGCAAACATTATACTACTATCACAGACATGGTAATTAACGTCTAGTAATCAAGCAAAGAGATAATAAAACCCTATATACATCAGTTTAAGATGACTAACAATGTATTGAGAAAAATAAGCGGCTACTGAGTACTGAGCTGCTGTGCATGCATAGATGCTAAAGCTTCTTGACCACTTAGGCTCAGATGACGAGCAACCAAAGGTGGCATGTATAACTCTGTCATTGAAACAATAATCACCCAGATGTCAGCGACGAGTCATGCGAGGCTTTTCGGAACCTCCCCATGAAGCTGGACCCAGGCCATACATAGGCCCTTTGTCAGCAGCACCCTAACACATAAGCATAGAGACAATTTAAGAGAAAAGTGAAAACCTAAAAGCTACACCATTAGACCATTTCCGAGAAAAGAGATACCAAGGCGAAAAGCAACTGATTACGAAAAAAAATATTGGAATTCCAATCATACAAGCAAGCATACCATGTGCATCCCATATCCATCTCCATATGCAGCAGGAAAAGCCCCTTCTGGGCTGGTGAAATTCATACCATATTGTCCACCTTCAAAGAAAGAAAAGGATGAGATATGAATTACGAGACTGAAAGCAAGATGTCACACCATAATCCCAAATGCACAAGAAGCTCTTTTTTTGCTCCTTGACATGATCGCTGGGAAACAAATTCAAATATCGCCCATGCAAAGAAATAAAAATAGTTAATTTCTGTAATAGATTATAAGAAATACGAGATCTCAACCCAACTCCCAAAAGCGGTTGTGGAAGATGAAATTCATTCCTCTATTCAACACCAGGCAGAGCTCAACGAATCAATAAACATGAAATTAAGTATTTCCACCAAAAAGAGGAATATAAGAGCAGAATGTGATGCAAAATTTATATGTTGGTAACTTGGTAAGCAAAATATAATTGTTTCACCACTGTGTGAGTTTGTCTTCAAGTGTTGTGTGTTTCTTTGCAGCTGCACGCCTGAATATGTAGTGCAGTGTCTCGCGCGTGTGTAAGAGAGAGAGGGGTTTACCATTCTCATACATGTTTTCAGAAGCCAATTTTACCATACAAGTGAAGGTTCAAGAAATGTACCATATGCAGGAAATAAATGCCTCTAGAATACGGTAAGATAAATAAGTAATACCTGTACCCCATGGTCTACCATCAGCCCTAGAAAGTTCTGCGCGTAGTTTTTCAACTTCACGTGCCATAGAAACTAGGTTCTTCTCCATTGCCTGTCTTTGCTCCATAAGCTCAATATTTGCCTTCTTTTCATAATCGACCGCATTTCTACAAAACAAAACTTCGAAGTTAATAACTTTATATAGAAGCAGTCAATCTCGTACACTCTCGATAAGATATGTACACTGAAAATGAGCTCTGGGACAAGAAAATGAAAACAAATACAAGAGAAGCAGGTCCACACCGACAAAACATAAGCTCCTGATGCAGACCATCAATCTCAGTCCTCAGCATAGGAATCTGCTTATTGTCAGACCGCAACCTCGCAAGGTCCTGCGTGAGGGTCTGAACTTGTGTGGCAAGTTCCTTCCTAACAGTATTCAGCTTCTGAACTTCAGAGCGAAGTTGCTTAGCCTCATTTTTCAAGGGTTCAGTTGCCTGTAGATCAGCCTCCAATTTCCTACTTTTCTCATAGAGCTCCCTTGATTTCATTTCTTCTTCGGCACGAATATCTGAAAAGGCAACATTCATCCGATGAATTTCTTCCTTGGCAGCACCAAGCTCATGCTGTAACGCCATCCGGTCCTCAACCAGCCTCCGGTTATCAGCCAAGAGTCTCCGAATTTCTGCATGTTGCATTTCAAGTTCTTCCTCCAACATTGCAGGATGGGGAAGAGACCGCATAGGAGGACCTCGGCCATAAGGTCCTTCAAAAGGATAACCACGCCGGTCATTCATCGCTTCACGTGGAACACGATGTCTTCCTGCCATTGTAAGTTGTCCTGAAAACCCACAAATTTGTAGGAAATATCACCCCTAAAGAGGGGGGGAAAGATAATGAACATGTCAGTGACTGCTAAATCATTCTCCAAACTAACATTCTCCAAACTAACATTCTCCATATAACTCAGGAAATCTTTTTTCTGAAGGCAGTGCAAATTATTTTAATATTTTCAAATTAAAAATTAAACAGTATGGCATTGCACAAGCTGAAATTTAATCAATTACACAATTTGACAGTCAATGTGTGAAGCATATAAAAATAAATTTTATCCAAATAATTAATCCACTCATATCTGATTAATCCATCCTTATAGGTTAGTTTGGGTTCCGAGAAACTGAAGGAAATTAAACACAAGTATTTTCTGAAATTCCAAATTTCTCATCACTTCAAACAATATGCATATATAATCCAATAAAAAAACCTACTTTTCTCAGGTCATCAGACAGTAATTAATCGCAGTTTCAATTCAATTAATACACAATTAAAAATAATAGAGAACCCAAATTTCCATTTATTTTATACTTTATCGAATTAAAAAACGAAAACCAAAATGTTATTAAACAAACTGGAATCCGAACCTGTTGTTCGATCGAATTTCTGAACGAATGAGGGAGGTCCTGGCTCCTGAGGTGTTCTTTTCTGGGCGGAAAATTCAGAGCGACCAATTTCTCAATTTTGTATTTGCGTATCAGGCTATCGAATGCTGCTCCGAGCGAGTCGTTTTCTAGCAGGCTCCAATCCTATTGGGCCCTCAGATTGTAGAAACTGTGGGCTCCACATCTTAGAGAACCTCATAGAATTAATATGGGCTTTTTTCTGGCCCAACATAGAAATTCGGATGCCAATGAAGGGCGTTTCCAAGGTGCGGACAAAGTGTGCGGACCATCCGTGTAGACAAAGATCTAACGGCTAAGAATGGAGGAGCTCATACGTAGAACCGGGTTGTTGTGAACCGATGGTTTTAAAAAAATTTCAACTTTTTAATTTTGTTAGTATCTTTTGTCTGATGGACAAAAACAGGAGTAAGTGGGAAAGAGAGGTTGGGTGTTGCGTGCTTTGAAGAGGAAAAGAGAGGGGATGAGAGATGGAGAGAGGGAGTGGGAGTTTGTAATGGATTTAAGGTGGATTAAAGCTAGGTTGCAGCTGCGACCCGGTAATCCAATAACTTTAATTTTGTTTTTGTTCAGTTTACGGTTTAGGCGTGGGAGGGGCAGATTATGATTGTCTCCGTCGGGTGTGTTTTCATAAACATTCACAATCTTTCATAACACATAATGGTTGGTTGGTAGAACTGTGACAGCTTCTTAAGAAAAGTTCCTGATTCATAAATGTTCACAAACTTTCATGACACATAGATGATGGTCTGATATAATAAACATTCATTCCTTACAAGGTTCGTTGAGCAATTGTGACACCACAATAAAACATAAAGGATTGTGTTAGATATTGTCCCAAACAATGTTTCAATATATCAAAGTGTGAGGGAAGTCACTTAAGAAGCAACAATATAGAGAAATTAGTTACAAACATCAATAATGAACCAGTTGCTAAACAAATTCAATTCATCTGAACAAACTACAAACTATCTTAAGAAATTAAAAAAAAATTATCCAACACTAGATACAAACAATGTAATACTTATTTATGCACTACCATTGTTCTTCAATGGTAAATGTACATAAAATTGATTGTGAACCATAAGTTTGAATCATGCACCACGCACTACACATTGTGAAGGCCATGCAACATGTCGATCGCCATCCTCAGTCGGTATTCAGGGACGTTGGCAGTCGTAATTCTATCCAAAGGAAGGCCACATGACAAGAGCTCAATCACTTTTAAAATTGAAAATACCGCAATCCCCCTTGTTGCACACAACAATTCAACAAGTTTGAAAACCAATTCACAAACAATCCAATTTAAACTAACTAACAATATAATTAAATTTTAACTCACTCGTTGGCTTGTTGTGGGGACTTTGGACTTGCAATGATAGGCCAAGGTCCGTTCTTCACCTGCTTCGACATGCTTTGGAGGACATCCGGTAACACGGAAGCGAGGGGAGCCAATTTGGTAGTTGCTTTATGTGTGCTGGTTTTAGACATCAATGAGTCGTACACCATTATTCTCCCAGCTATAAGATTCATCTCAATAGCAACCCAATGATGATCAAGGTTGAGGGGCATGTACACCTTCTCCACATCCACCAACCATGATGTAGAAAATGGCTCCCCTTCCCCCTTGACCGTCTTTAACAACACCATTAAGAATTCTTTGGCCGTATTAGCTTTGCTGCCTCTAGTTGTTCTTTTAGTTGCCATCACATTGTAGGAGTGCTCATAGTACGTCTATCCTTAATTGGAAAATAAATAGAAAAGAATGTACAACACTTAAACCATTCGAAAACACACCCAACAAAAGAATTTCCGAACTTTAGAATATTAGTAGAAATTTGGTTAGATACTTTACCAATAACCAGTCGACTGTGTTTGTGGTCAACGCTTTCCCCTACCCTTCGAGCCTATTCGGCAAGCTTCCTTAGCAGATGCAACTGCAAATGAATGTGCAATACAAAAATTGTAATTAAACTATGACACCTAGGGGTGGAAAAAATATACCAAAAATTCCGAACCAAATTGAAAAAAATTCTGAATCCATACCTAAAAAACCCCAAACTAAAAATCCTGAAAATTTCGATACCCAATCCCAAACCGATCTCGAAATTTTGGTATGGGAATCGGTCTCACATTGTCATTTGTTCGGCAATCCCAAACTGAACTGAAATAAAAAAAAATATTTAAATATATATATGGAATTGTAACAATCATCAGATTTGGTTGAGATTTAATCACAACCATTGAATCCAAATAAAACCTTCACTCTCCCTCGACCTCACCTCACCCTGCTCTCTCTGTCTCTCATCCTTCGCCAATTTCTCTCACTCTTTCTCCTCCTTATTTGCCGTTTTCGAATCCAGCCATGTCACATAAGTGATTGACCTCTCTGATCTCTCTCTCGTCTTCTCATCTGTTGTTGAAAAGACATTGCAGGAATGGCAGTAGCTCAGCTGATAGCATCGTTGATCTTGACCAAGAGTTTGGTTTGTTTGAAGGGCTCATACCTTCAAGCCTTAAGTTGGGTCGTCGGCATGCAACCGTTATAGCTCACAGAAACATATGAGGCCTGATACTAATGAATGATAATGCTATTAAACACAATTCGTAAGTAATTTTTGGTTTTTTATTACTTTCTGGCTTGCAAATCTAGTAGCAGCGTTATTAAACATATATATATTAAAGGATTTAGAGCTGTTTATATATTAAGCATATATATATATATATATTTTGTTTTGTGCAAAGGAAATGAAAGTAGCTTTGTTTAGTTTTAGGTGGAATAGCTTCAATTTGTTTTCAATTTAGGTATTTGACTTCTAGGATTTTGGATTTGGGGGTTTTCAATTTCGTGAACTTCAGGGGCCTCCATTTACAAGAAGGCAAATATGAATTGATTAAATCCCAGGTCGTACTGCAATATCAAAATATTTCAGGAATCCCAAAATTCGACAATACCGAAATTTCGTTTCGAGATCGGTCTTCAGATTCTTATCCCAAAAATAGTCGATTTGGAATTTGGGATTACCTTTTCGGTTCAATATCCCAACACGTTTATATAACTCTAAACCAAATAGTGTTTAATCACTTACATTGGTTGATAGCCACCCTGCCGGTACAAGGAGTCGCCTTAAAAAATCAGTGTTTCCAACCGCCGCATTCTTCAACTCGGCAACTGGACTAACAATGTAACCAAAAAACAATAAGGCTCATCATTATATTAGTTTAATCAATATAATTTACATTGCATAAAATCCAAATGTCAATTATTGCTTAACATTGTCACTCAGTTCACTGTTTTTTTTTTTTTTTTTTTTTTTTTTTTTTTTGCAATTTGTAATGTCAAAGATGAGCATCGTATATGAAAGGACTTTGATATTATTCTTCGTCCCTGTTTTGTTGTTGTAGTCTTTGAGGTCCCCTTTGTGGATCGGCCCTTTCTCTTTTTTCCCACACTCACCCTCAGCTGTGCAAATAAGAACATCATCATCATCAAAACTTTTGGTTTCTTCATACTGGACATGTACATGTTCTCCAATCACTCCAAGCATCTCCTTGTATATAGAGTTGGGACTACTACACTAAATAGTACGCAAAAGCTGGTTCAAACGCTCATCCTCTGTAACTCTCATGACTTTTTCTCTCTTGATCCCTCGGCTCATAAACCCTAGTTTGACCACCATCTTCTTCTTCTTCTTTTTCTTATTTTTCCTCTTCTTCTTTATCTTCTGTTGTTTCTATTTCTCCTTCGTCATCTTCTTCTATTTCTCCTTCGTCATCTTCTTCTTTGTCGTCTTTTTCTTCTTCCTCATGTTCTTCTTCTTCCTCTTCTGTTGTTTCTTTTTCTTATTCTTTTGTTTCTATTTCTCATTCTTAATCTTCTTCTCCATATTCTTCTTCTCTCTTCTTCTTCTTCTTCTTCTTCTTCTTCTTCTTCTTCTTCTTCTTCTTCTTCTTCATTCTTTTGTTTTTGTTTCTCCTTCGTCATCTTCTTCTATGTCATCACCATCATCATCTTTTTCTTCTTCTTCTTTTTCTTCTTCATCTGTTTCTATTTCTCCTTCATCATCTTCTTCTTTGTCGTCGTCTTCTTCGTTTTCTTCTTCTTCTTCTTCTTCTTTGCCATATTCTTCTTCTTCATTATTCTGTTTCCTTTTCTCTATCGTCATCTTCTTCTTTGTCATCATCATCATCATCTTCTTCTTCTTAGTTTTTTTTTTTTTTTTTTTTTTTTTTTTTTTTTTATTTAACTTCCCTCCTAGATTCCTTGACCTCCTGGGTCAACTCTTCCACATTCTTCAATACGTTCCTCTCCAAAATATCCTCTTATCATGTACAAAATGCACCAAAGCCACATTCAATTCCCTCACATCATTTGTATCGGGAATGAATGTGTTAGGCATCACCACATTGGCATAATAGCCCCATGTCCAGTACCTTCTGTCCTTCTTTACCTCAGTGGGCACAATCTCTTGAATCCCCACCGAGTGCCATTTAATGCAACTTGTCAGAATTATATTTGTAGACATTCATAAACATTCACACATGTTCAACACCATTCATCAAGTTCATAAACTTTCAAATTAAGTTATACCTATCGATTCTTGGTTATGTACAGTTGCAGCTGCTCATAGATGACTTGTTTTTTCTTCATCGCTTACCAGAGAATTCTTGGGATGGCTACCGGATCAGTCATCTTGCAATACCTTAATGGCTTCTCCAGTTGGGGAATTATTTCATATGCCCACACCCGCACGTAAACTGAATTAGTACTCAATAACAACAATTTAAACAATATTAGTGCTCAATGAAACCAAGAAACAGTACCTGAAAAACATAACTAAACACTTTGCAGCCCTATCTTGATCTCTGCCGCCTCTTACTTCCCCTCCCTTCCTCATCTTTTTCCACATCACCCTCTACTCTTCTTCTCCATCTCGTAGAAGCAGCAAAAGAGAGGTTGTCCTATAGTTGTTAACAAGAAATTGAACCCCATGAATAACTGTTGAACTTATTCATGTCGTCAACGAGCTCAAAGTACTCTAGGTTTGCAGCCACATTACTTTTCCCCTATTAAGACACCCTTGATGAAGTATAGTAACCTAGCTTAAACG